CTCTTCCTTCTAATATCAAAACCCAAAGAAAAACAAAATGCCAGTAAAATCATTCGCTTTCTTCAAAAACCCATGTCCAAAATTTTCATTAACACCCAATAATTCATCTCCTCCAAAACTAAGAAACACAGTTTAATGATTTTTAGACCACAGGTATCTTCCATCGGACAAGTGTCATCCATTAGAGACAATCCTGTTTGAATTGGATAAGATCACTATAACCAGCAAAGTTCTCCCTTGAGTATTTACACAATTGCATATTCAGAACTCGAACTTAAGACCACTGATCTAGCTGAAACAACCTCTTATCAGTTGATCCACATGCTCGGTAGCACACAGTTAATCAGTTAAAGTAAAAACAATCTCAATTACTAATAAAAATAGTAAATAGCATGCATACACTCATGACAAATCATAAATAAATAACATTGCTAACTAAGATATTCTCATCTACAATTGACATTACTCACTTCATCTTTACCCACTTAAGAGGAGCGAAATCTCGCACAAAAGACATAAAAAAAGAGAATTGGGGGACACATAAGAGAGAAATACAATCAATACCGTTGAAGTCCTTGGCGATCAGAGGGAAACCACGTCTTCCTTAAGGCCTCTCTCCTCCTGGTGGATCCGAACCCGGTCTGAATTCCCACAAACCCCATCACCTTGTGCCTGTCCCCATCGCCGCCTCCGCCGGTGGCGCCGGAGCCGGCGTGCTCCCAGACGACGCGCACCGATCGGGGCGGCGCGGGGACGCAGCGGGAGGCGCGAATCTGGGCGGCGAGGGCGGCGATTCCGAGGAGGAGGAGGAGGAGGGCGGAGAGGAGGAGGAAGAGGGTGGATCTGCGGGTGGCGAAGGGGTGGCGCGTGTGGGAGGCGGCGAAGGACTTGGGGGAGGAAGGCATGGCTCTCAGGGAATGGGGCACCCCAGGAAGATGGGGTGGAGAGTGATGGGTGTGGTGATGAAGGTAAAGGTTAGGTTCATGGCACAGAAATGGCAATCAAGGTTCACTTCTAGTGGCAGTGGAGAGACACTGAGTGAGAGAGACCAAATGTAAGACTCAATCAAATGAAACCTCTTCTTTTTTTTTTTTTCCTATTTTCTTATTATTTAAATAATTTTACGATAATAAAAAATAATATTAAAAATTAATTAAAAAAGCCAAGATTCGGTCGGGGTTGATTCACGCTTAAGGAATGTTAGGGATTTGAATCCTGCCTTGTGTATACAGTCTTTTTAAATTTTGGGACCAGCTATCCCACTTTTTAAAGTGTCTCTAACATAACAAAAAAATTAGTCACTTCTATCGGCGGTGAATACTCTAAGGACGAACAAAAAAAAAGCTAAAATTAAAACATGAGATTTCGATATGATGAAAAAGAGTTAAAATAATTAGAAGTATAAAGCTTAAATTCAATCTCTATTATAACTATTTTTATACTATTTCTTATTTAAAAAAAACATGATTATAATGTTATGATGTTTAAGAAATAAATATAACATGAGTTAATAATTTCTAGGTATTTTTTTAATAAATATAGAAATACGAAATCTCTCGAATATGTTAGGATTTCTTTCATAAATAAATAAATAATTACTACTCCTTTTTGTTTTTTATTTTGAGAAGAAAATAAAGAAAACTGCCTCTTTTTTTTTCTTTTTTTCTTTTTTCCGAATCCAAAATTAAGAAGTGTAACATGGGAGTGTATAAGTTAAGAATAACGAGATATAAATAAAATAAGATCAAACAAAAGAAAAAAAAAATAGATGAAAAATGAAAAAGAAAATAATATTGCAGTGAAATAAAGTTAAGGGAATATCGATGAGGACAAAAATTGATACATTGCCCTTGCGTTTAAATAAACTATGAAAGTCATTAAATGACTACATAAATAACTGTTAGAAAAATGAAAGTCATTAAATAACTAAGAGTTGAAGAGGGGAGAGAAATAAGTTTTTAATAAAAAATAAATAAATGTTAAGTTACAATAACATTGTTAACATGAGTTTAATAAATCATAAAAGTTTGTTGGGATTCTCGTCCAAATATTTTTTGGTAAACATCGTAACGTATTCTAACTAAAAATATGGTAAAAGTATGATAACATTTATATTTATATTATATATATGTAAAAAGAGAAATCTATTTATTTTAAAAAATAAAATTACTTAGATTTATCCTACTCATTAATTTAAATTCTATATTAAATTTCAATAATTCAATTATTAAATTAAAAATTTTAAATATATAAATTAAGTCTACAAACAAAAATTATTTGACATTTTATTAATTTAAATCAACATATAAAATGTATCTATTAATTTGAATTAATAAAATGAATTATCAAATATTTTTTAATTTTTTTTAAGAATTTGCAAACTAAATTTATGTATTAAGAATTTATAATTTAACAGTTAGATCGTTGAAATTTAATGTACAATTTGAGTTATTAAATAGAGTAAATTTAAATAAACTTGTTCTTAAAGTAAGTGAATCGTCTATTTCTCTCCATATATATATATTTGGTAAAGAAAAAGTTTTCCTGAGAATAATTCTTGATAATAATTAAAATATATTTAATTACTCATAAAAATTTTGATAATATTTATAGAAGATTTTCAAGAATTAAAGATTTTCATATTAGTATATTTTTGAGTATATAAATATTATTTATTTAAATAATAAATTTCATTACCTTATTGACTCATTTGGACTTATTATTTACCTTTAATGTATGGATAATGTTAACAAATCTCTTTTGGTGGGATGTGCTTCATTGTGTCTTTGTGAAGCATAATTGAATTTCAAGCCAAACACTTATGAGTTTATAACAAGTTTATTTAATATGATGAAAAGTTTTAATGCAAAGAACATTATTTTTATATTATTGTTGATATATTTCTTTAATTTTTTATAACATGAAAAAAAATGATTAAAAAAATATTGATTCATTGGTTCTTATTTATACATATATAATTAGATGTGTATGATTTTCGGCATTTATTTGAGTATTAGTATTTTGTTAAAATATTTTTTAATTTTTAATACCCAATGTCCTAATCTAACTCATTATTAATCATATTAGTTCAGTTCAGATTTGATAGAAACTATACACAAATTTAACTTAATTCAACCCATTTTATATTTAATTAGGTCATGTGACAGGTTTTTGAAACTCAGTACAAACCGTCCTATAAACACTCCTAATTTCAAAGATATGCATATAAAAACAAGGCTTTGAAATTGCTTTGAAATTGTTGTAATTGAACACGAAAAAGGATGTTAAACTTTATATATAAAAAATCATAAATATTTTCTGCAAGTAGTGAATTTAAACATGCAAACTTAAAAGGTGAAGACAATACAAGAATGTAGCAACAAGGTCGCATAAGGATAGTGAAAATAAATTAAAACAATGAAGTCACCATCAACATTTATTTTAAAAAAATATTAAAAATATTTTAAAATAAAATGACCTTTGAAATCAAATTTTGAGTTTGGAAGTGAATCATGGATATAAAAAATATTAATACTTTACAACAATTTATAATAAGACGATTATTTTTAATTAATTAACCAAATTATTTATAACATATAAAATATTTATCTCACTCTAAAAACTAAAATTAATTGTGACAAAAATTCAAATTATTTATATAATAAGTGAGTATATTTATTTTAATGAAGAATAAAATTATCAATATTATTGTTGTTAATAATAAAAAAAGTTAATGTTTTATTTTTATTTTTTGGCTTAACATATATCTCCATAAAATCAAAGTTACAAAGTTATTGTAGAAAATATTTTTGAGTTGGAATTTTTTAATAAATTTTTGTTTTTATTTTGTTTTATTTTTCTTAATTAAATATAGGACTTTTAAACTTTCATAACTCATACGTCCTAAAGTATAAAATTGATAAAAGTGTGTATATACCAAAACCAATTTATTAATTATAACATTTTAATTTAGTGAAAAATTTTAAAATAATGTTGTCACAACTTGCATCCTTAAACTTTAAGATTAAGAACTTTACAAAAAAAAAAAAAACTTTAGGATTAAGAGAATGTCATATTCAAAAAAATCCCTACTTTAAAACATGTATTTTTATTTCATTAATATTAAGTTATGAATAATAATAATAATTATTATATTAAAACTTTCAATGTTATACTTATATCTAATGATAATCTTATTTGTGTTTTTATAAAAATTGATTATTATCATAATTCTTATGCTAATATATTAAAACAAACAAAACATAATAAAATCTAAAGGCTTAATTGCAAAAGACCAAAAAGGAAATCCTATGTGTGATCAAATGAAAAGTGTAGCCCACACATAATATAAGCAAAAAAGAGAAAAAACAAATTGGAAAAGAAAATAAAGGTTAAGAAAGAGAAAGTTAAGTAATTTTATGAAAGTTTCATGGGAAGGTAAAAATGTTTGTTTTCCCATTCTTATACTCTAATGTATAGAGCCTTGAATAAGACAAGAGTGAGGCGACCAAAAAAAGAAGGTTGTGCATGTGAAGCTTGACAATTGGAGTAGATGGAGTACGGAGATTCAGATGGCACAGTTAAGAAAAAGAAGAAGAAAGAAATGGAGTGGCATGAACAACAATCATTGGCCATGACATGCAAAGTGAAAAAGGGAAGATGAATTGAGGAAGAGAGAAAAAGGGTTGTTGGAGGTATGGTTCGTTTGGTGGTTCATCATAGTAACGTAGCAACGATCGAGTCCACACAAAAATGGTACATAAAAGGGGAAGAAGAAAAAATGGCATCACCCCCGCCGAAAATCGCCTCTACTAGCAACATGCGATGATCTTCATGGGAACAATCCCTTTGTTGTGTTCCCTTGGTGCCATTCACTCCCCTTTTTTTTCATTATCATTTTATTTTCCTATTGGGGTTGGATTTTCATTTGTTGATAGAAAAACCCTTGGCTAAGGTTTAGGAATGAGGGTTCTAGTGCCATGGTGGAAGAATTCACAAGAGAAATTAATTTATAGTGTGTGATGTGATTGGATAATTATCATTCGTTTAACTTTTCTTGTGACACATATCATCATTTTAAAATATAAAAGTAGGGGTGGTAAAACATATTAGATGAACCTATTTCGGCCTACCCTGTAACAACTCGCATACATTGAAATGAGAGAGATTTAGAGATTGTACAAGTGTGAAATTGTATAATTGAGGATGTGTAACATCCCGATTTTTTTATACTTCATATAAATAAAGTTTTGAAATTATTTTGATATTTAATATAATTATTTTAGAGTTTTAATATTATTTAATTAATTATATGAGCTCTATTTTATTTATGAGATATGATTTATGACGATTATTTTGATTAGTGATATAGGTAATTTTTATGAATGTATTTTATTAATAATATGTCTGTATTTATTTTAATATTTTAATGTGTTTATTAGAAAGATTTTTAATATTATTTAGTTAGTAGATATGAGTTCTATTTTTATATAAACATATGTTATTTTCACTAAAAGGAGAAATATATTTTATATTATTTATCTATTTTATGTGAGCTCTATTTTAATATAAAAATAATTTTTAATTAATATTTGAATTATTTGTTATAAGACTATTTTTATGAAAATATTTTTTTTTATCAAGAATTATGTTTATGTTATTTATTAAAAGGAGGAAAGATGTTTAATTATTTTAATTATTTTTTGAGAAGGGAAGGAGGGACCTAGTGATCTTTTACTAAATATTATTATTATTATTATTATTATTATTATTATTATTTATTTTTATTATTTTTAAGAAAGGAGGTTGTTAGGAGTTATTTTCAAGCTCCTCACATTCTCTTTCTTTTTACGCATTGTGTTCTGAATACTCACGAGAACCATGAGGAGGAGGTCACCGGGGAACCATACGCGCTTTGTCTTTTACTGACCAAGGTAAGGAAGGAGTGAGAAATCTCACTCGTAGGTGTGGAAATAATTGTTGGGTAGTCAGATTGACCCCAATCCCTTGCCTGATGTATGCGTATAGGAATAAACACTTTATAAAAGTTTTCTATTTTGTTTTTAGATTA